TCATCTTCATCACAGTCTCATCACATTAAAGTTTCGTCATGGATTAATCAAGTGCTTGGAGATAATTAGGGTTTTGACACTCTCAATTGGAAAGTCAATAATTAGGGTTTTGAAGCTTGGGTTCCATTACACATCACTCAAGAGATCCTCAATATCATTATATCATATTCCTAAAGGCATCTCAATGTATTGAAGATTACATCATGATCACAAGACTTCGTTGAAATTGGAAGATTTGAATTCATTTGGAAAAGTCAACTGCTCAAAGTCAAACTTTGACTTTTGAGATTTTTAGTGAAATATGGACCTATCAAGATAAATTTCATGAAAATTTGGTTGGTATTTGAATTTGATCAAATAAAATCACAAAAATTGAAGTAACTTGCAAAAAGAGAAAAGTTGAAGATATTGGAAAAAGTTCTAAGTCCTAAAATACCATGTTCAAGTGCATGACTTTCCAAGCTTGTAACTTCTTCCTCAAGAAATTATTTTTCATGCTCAAGGGATATAGTTGAAGATGATCCTACATATTTCAAAATTGAAGAAGTAATAGATTCAAAAGCTCAAAAGATTTGAGTTATCTCAAGTTGTAAAGAAGTGCAAAATGCCTAAAATTTCTCTAAGTGTTTTTCAGCTTAAAACTCCAATTTTGTGGGCCAGTTTTCTTATTGATTCAAGATGATTCAAGCCAAGTGATCAACATGAAATTTGTAGAGGATGGGAACATCTTTCCAATGGTACCAAGAGCATGAATTTATGTTGCTTGAGTGTCAAGTTTCGAAGAAGAGAAGTAGCCATGGTAGAGATGTTTTACAAATCAGATTTTGGTTCAAGATTCATGTCAAACTCGACCAAATCCCACATGATCTTGCTTTGTATTCCTTTTTGCTTTTAAATCTCAACCTAATTGGTGTTTTACACAAGTCTTGAGTGCATTACACAAAAACTTGAGACTTTATCCAATTTACATCCCATACATGGAGCATTTCATAAAAAGCCACATATTCATTTTCATAAAGTTCACCTTTTCTTGATGTCGAAGTCACTCATACAAGCATATTTTAAACTTTACTTGATACTGATTTGTGTGTTTAAATGCTATGAATGAAAGCCTTATGAAAATAGGCATTGGTTAATTGCATACATCATTTAATTTAACCTTGAAAAAAGTTAGGGTTTATGGTTTTGATTGAAATTCATGAGTTATAGTTGATATAAATTTATGAAGTGGATATTTATGAAATCCTTGTGAAATTTCAAGCAAGTTTTCTTTTTATACTTTTTAGTGTGGTTGAGAAATGAAGAATCACGAAATTGCACCATTATTGTTGTCACGAGGAAGAAGATGAAGTCAGTGGCACCATTTTCATATTTTTGAATGATGGTTTATAATATATTTAATTGAAGTTGTTTTATAAACGAATTGACATTGCGCCCCAGTGGTCATGCACTGATATTTATGTGTTTGGGTGTGAAGCGAAAGGTCTGGGGTTTGAATCCTCCTTGCCCTATACATTTTGAAACCCTTTTGCTTATTTTTTTAAAACCATTTTGAAACTTATTTTGATATTTTATTAAATGAATGGATGATATTGTCAGCCATAGCGCATGATCCAGTGGTTAAACTTTTGAGTGGCAAGTACGAGGGTGTGGATTCAACACCCCTTGGTCATAAAACCTTCTTTTCTATCACATGTTTCTTTTTATTTTTGTTTTCTATTTCTTTTTCTTATTATTTTTTTTAGCTTAATTGTAATTTTGGTCCCCTAATTTTAATTTTTGAGTTTTGATCCTCTCGTTTTAAAATTCAATTTTTTCAATGACATGGCAGTCAATTTAATGAGTGTCATTGCAATGTATACACAAATTAGTCACATGTCATTTTTATTTTTTTATTTGATAAATTATAATTAATTTTTATTTTATTAATAATATTATATTATTTATTTAAAAATTAAAAAAAAACTTAAATTATTATGAATTTGTAATGATTTATTTTTATTTTTTTAGAATAACTTTATTTTATAATTATAATAATTATATTATTTTTTAAAGAAGATATATAGAATTAATTAATTGAAATCTAATTTGTATAAGTAAAATTGCAATCTCATTTGTACATTATTTGATTACATTTGTCTTTTAAAACTTATTTGTTAAAAATATATTATACCGACACATTTTTAAGGTAAGTGTCCTAATAAGGATTCTCATAGAAGTGTCGGGTATTTAAGCTTAGTTGTATGTCTGATATCAGTTTTGAAAGACTTCGAATCAATTTTAGAAATATAAAATTGATTCTAGATAATTTTAAGGTGTTTAGATTTTTCAAAATTAGAATTGATTTTACCTCCATAATTGATTCTACTTGAAGCTAAAATTTATAATTTTTGCCTTTAGAATTGATTTTGAGTGATTTTTACACTGAAATTTATTGTTCAACTCAGTTTTATATAAATGTATCCAAACATAAATCAATTGTGCTAAACTCAATTTTGTCAAAATTAATTCTACCAAACTCAATTCTCTGCTAGAATCAATTATGTCCACTGTCAATCCAAACATGCTCTTAGAATAAGTTAACCCTCTATTTCACTCAATTTTCCTATATTTAACTTCTTTTTTTAAATTAAGCAGACTTGGCGGGTCAACCCTTCCTATTATATTTTAACTCGCTGAGCTTTTTGTTTTAGCGGGACGGGGTTGAGCGAACTCAAAATTACAAGAGAATTTTTTAATACACGTTATGTATTTCTAGCGCAGTGCGCGAAAATACGTAAATGCCCAAGATTTCAGAGATGTATCTCCGGACACATCAATCTTTTACTGAACGAGCAATTATTCCAGAGATGCATTTCTGAAATATTGTCGCATGTGTATTTCCGAAATTTTATATAGCAGAGACTAGAAAAGCAAAATGGAAAAACACCAACTTCACAAAATCAAAGTACCATTGATATCATAAAATAAACAATACATGATGAATTTTAGCATAAATCAGACATTACAATTCAATATCTAGGTGGGTGTTGCAACATCTTCATAATATCATCGATCGATCTGAAAACAGTGGCATATAGCTCGATCGGAACTTTTGATTCTAAAAGGAAGAAGGTTCTCCACATAGCTCTTAAATCAGCAGTCATCTTTAGTTCATGATTGCTAAACTCAAGTTTTCCTTCTTTGTCAACGGATGACGAGTTGTACTCGATCTTCACAATTTTTTTATTGTTGCCATACAGTAGAAGGTCTTGCAATATGCATTACAGATGTTCAAGATGGGGTGTACTCGGTGATCTTAAATTCTTGTGATGGTGTATTACTGATAAAGTGAATATTTTCAACATGTCAAATAATGTTCATTATGGATTTTTGTGTTTTGTATGAAACAATATGACAAGTTATCTATATTTATAGTAGAGGGAGACTAATATGGACCTTACAAACCTTATCTTATACCAGGGTCCATTTCAGAAATATATCTTTGGAAATGTCCATATTCATTGTCAAAAATTATGCTTTCAACATATTTCATTAAATCGGAATATTTCACGTACACTTTTTTGAAATATATAACAGCATCAACATATAGCTCTTTTGTAGATGCATTTATTATAATATTCCATGCATCCATATTAATGTGGTAAATAAGAGTTGAAATGAATAAACTTTACCTTAAATTTCACTTCTTTTAACTCCTTTTGATATGATGAAACACTAGAATAGATTTGGAGTGAAAAACTTGATTGAGAATGAAAGAATTTTTGGAGAGGATTTAAGGAAACTTTTGAAAATGAGGATGATCATGTCGGTTCATACCGATTGCTGTTTTAAATAATTTGACTTTTGATTTTTCCGAATATATATTTTCATAAATATATGACATGCAAAGGTAACAGAATTCCCAACACACTAATATACGGGAGATACATATTCAGATATATCACTACATGATTAAAAAAAACAAAAAGTTGAACTCTTCTGTCAACAAAATAATAACTAATGTTTATAATTTAAAAATAACAGCATAAGTGACAAGCTACACAAAGAAGAGTAATTCTTGTTATTTCCTAACTTTAACTAAACCAAAAATTATATTACTAGTAATTTTTTAACTTCTTAAATATTTGTTCAGTTCCTAAGAAAAATTTGTTCAACTACACATGGAGACATGCTCTAGAAAAAGTGTTGGAACAAACTAGTACTATATTATATATTGTTCACTGGAACTTTTCTTAACCAATTTCTTGTTATGATTTCCAAAAATGTAAGTCAATATGCTTGTAACACAAATGCCGATTTGTTTTATTGATCACTTTCACTACTTAGCATTTACAAAATTATATATTATTAACCATTTATTTTACATGAATCTATCCACTTTATCATTTTACTTTATTTAGAATCCCGATATTCTTTTTGAATGAGCTGCTCATATCAAAAAAATGTACAAGAGAAGGCTTGGGAGCGGAAGATTTGGAGCTCTTCAGCTCTTCAAAATAGTGTTAAGGATAAAGGTACTGTGATTTGATTTGCTAAATCTTAAATATAGCATGTTATTTCAATTCTTTTAGCCGTGATGGTCTAAAAATAAGCAGAAATGATTATACATGGTGGAAATATATTCTTCTTGCATGTACATGGAAGAGGCAGAAGAGGTTTGGTTCTTAAATAAAATTATGTTGTTAGATCTCAGCAGTGGTTGATAATGGCTGATGGAAAAATGAGTTGGAACTTACCAACAAGGAAACCAAGTGATTGAACCTAAGCTTGTTAGATTTGAAGGAGTTTACACCACTGAAGGACATCAAATTCTCTACATCTTTTGGGAAATTAAAATTTTTTCACACAACTTTATTGTTCAACCCACCGTTAAATAAATGTATACACAAACAATTTTATATTTCATCTCACTTATAAATAAAATCAATCCATTCAATTACACTCGGTATCCATTTCTCACAAATCATAAACTAACATAAAACTAGTTACAACAATTGTCACACATACTTGTGTTGTTGTAAGGCCCGAATCATCAAGGAAGCTGCAGAGTTCTCTGCATCCTTCACCCGAGATTTTTCGTCTCCAGACATTTTGAGTATGGCAGCCGGAGTAGTTATCTGAACGGCACTGACAAATTTCTTATCTTGAGGAGTACCTTCGTCTTTCTCAATACTTGGAAACATTATAAAGAAATAAGAAATCAGTTTACAAGCACAACACAAGCAAATCAACTTAAAGAACAAATTAAAAATAACAAGGAAGATCAAATAGCTAGTAGAAAATATCAACTCTCCAAAAACAATTATTGTTGAGTTTCTGTGTAGATGTATCAAACTAATCCCCCAAAAGAGGTCAGAAGCAAAACTAAATCAAGTAGAATTACACCTAACATAGGCATTGTGTAAGCAAGGCCAGGAGCATCTCAGCACATATTGTTCGAGAGAATCACCTTTATATGGCAATGAAGGTAAAGAGTAGTTGAATCTCTTTTATATATGGCTTAGAAATACTTTGATTTAGATTCAAAAGGAGTACAGACTTTTCTTTTGAATGAGTTCTAAAATATTGGGTTGGTTCATGCTTAAGTTCTATATCTGCAAGACTAAAGTAATTTCTCACAATGTTAAGAGAGAGAAATTGAGATGGTAGCAGTGATCTTCTATTACAGTTAAGAACTAAAGAAGGGGAAAAAATAGCATCAATTATATCTTTTGTTGTTATGTATCAAGTTTCTAATTTACTTTTAAATATTAGAAATCAACCAAACAGGTAGATGCACAAACAGGTTTCTTCTGTGTCTAGGTATATGAAAAAACTTTACAAATGCAAGTAATAACCTAACTGTTCTGGTCAACAAAAAAACACTATATTTCACAAAAATAATACTCTCTGCCATCCTCATCATTTATTGGTTTCTTAAAACCATTGTTGCTGATGGCGGATGGCGGACCATGGCGGAGACTAAGCCAAATTTCCACCATAGCGACTACTTTGCGGCGCCGTTATAGCGGATTATGGTGGAAGATATTTACCATTGCGGCGAGGCCAAAAACCGCCATGTATATCTGCTATGGCGGCCATGGAGCCGCAATTTGATAACACTGCTTAAAACTTGCCATATAATTTCAAATTATTCTAGCAGGGAAACCAGAAGATGCACTTTTAAACACAAAATGAAATCAGGACTAAATGAAGGTTAGCCGTGTTTACCTGTATACCGGTTTGGGCCACTTTTTCATCCCACAAATTGCGTATAATTTCTGCTTGGCAGCTTCAATTTTAAAGTTACCATCAATGTCGACACAACAATCAGGCATTGTGGTAGTGGCAGGTAGTAAGCGTTGTAGTTTATGCAAGGCAGCCTTGGCAGCTTCAAGCCTTGCAATGTCCTTTTGATCAGAGGAAGCGGATGCAACCAACTCTCCGTCAACATAGACACAGGCAGTGCTTTTGGGACCATTTCTCTGTTGTTCTATGTCAACTTTTTTACCATTCTTTTGGCAGATCTCGTAAAGCATTGTCACCGGTTGCGGTTTTTGTTCAAGATCTTGCAGTGTAACTATCGGCTCCAAAAGACCTCTTATAATCTGCCAACAAAAATTACAAAGTTGTGGGGTCAAAACAACTGCATGATTTCATATTGAATGCTCAATCGTAAGCAAGAATAAGTTCAAGTTTAAACAACAGGAATAATGCACTAACGGAAGCGCAAACAACAAAACGTAACAATTGGAGAAATTAATCAATAAAATAGAAATTGCTCAGAAAAACAAACCATACCACCCATAATTTTTTAAGGTCGAAATCAACGTCAACATAAACAGCAGCAGCAACAGACTCGACAATATCGGCAAGAATCTTGGGAGCTTTAACCGATCCACCATACATAACAAGAGCACAATCATCCTCACAACCAACCGCATCAACAAACTCGTTAATCATATCAACAATCGAAAGCGTATTGTGACGGACATAACGGTGTAAACCATTACGAACGGCAGCTCGAGCGAGTTTCTCGGTGCTAACATTAGCGGCACGGAGGAGAGAGAGCTGACCAGGATCGACGGAGGAGTAAGCGAGGAAGAGGTGGTTGCTGATGGCGAGACCTAAAACGGCGTCGCCAACGAACTCAAGACGTTCATATGAAACGGCTTCAGGGTAAGAAGTATGGGTAAGAGCTTGTTCTAGAAGCTTCTTGTTTTGAAAAGTGTAGCCGATTATTTTCTCCACTGCTGAAACAGAAGCTTCCATCTTCATCTTCTCTCTATGTGTTGTGTGTGGGGTTTTGGTTCGGATTTAGAAAAGAAACAAAAGTGAAAGAAAAGAAAGAAAAAAAAGGTAAACGCCCAAATAATTTACCGCAATCCAAAGCATAAATAAACTGAGAAAGGAAATTACTGAACGCAAGAGAATCACAACAAAAAATATGATTACGTGGCAATTATGTTGACCATAGTCAAAAAATTAATCTTATCAAATCTTTTCAAAAAAGAAATTAAATGTTATAAAATTCATTATATAACACGTCTTTTAAACATTTTGGTATATAGAAAATTAAGAAAAAGAATTAGGAAACAATACCAACATAATGTATTTAATATAAAAAATAAGGGTGATTCCATTATTGACACTAATGTGCAAAGAATGTAAATTAAACACAAATTAAGGCATCACATTATTAATTTAATGATGTCTTAATTGAGTTTAATTTAAGTGGTTTTGATGAGCTGGATCTTTAAGATAGTCTTATTTGTCTTTGTTTTTTGATTCATCATAAATATATTTCTTGATTCCAAAAATAAGAGTAATTATATAATGTATTAAATAAAATAATTTTCAAATGTTAAAATTGGAATTAAATGCAATAAAATACATTATATAATATACCTTTTAAAGTTTCTAATTAAAAACTTAGAGGATGTAGAACTGAGAAATAAATGAAATAAAAGAAATTATATAATGTATTAAATAAAATAACTATCAATGTCAAAAATAAAATATTATTGTTCTGTACTGGGCCCGACAGGCCCAATAGCATTGATAAGGCCCAATTCAAACGGACTTGCTGGGGGTCACGCCGACCAAAGGATCACTGTCGTGCCCGACGTACTCCCTGGAGCTACTTGCTCGACCTCCTACTGTCCAGCTCGACCTCACCTCGAGCACCCCTCCTAGGGCAGACTCAGTCCACTGCACCCTCACCTGGGTCCCGAAAAGACCGCGTCCTCGTCCGCCCGCACTTCACGCAGCACATCCAGGAAGGAGACCACGTGCGGGTCTCCACTACACACGTAGAACCTGGCAGTTCCTTCATTGGGCCAAACCTGCCCGGCCCAATGAAGGGACCTTGGCCCAGCGCTGGGGGCTATAAATACCCTCTGTTTCCAGAGGGTCAGGTATTCATCATTCTACCCATACTCTTACTATTGCCTGATCGTGCTCTTACTCACTTCAGCATCAGAGTGTCTTGCAGGTACCCCCCCTCCCACCTCGTTCAAAACTTCAGCTCGGAGCCAGCCGTGACGGTCCAAGTCTGATCAGGTCTGATCAGTGGCGCCGTCTGTGGGAAACTAGCTTGCCCGTCTTGCAAACTCAAAGACCAAAGCTCAAATTCAACTACCTGTCATGGCTGATCAAGCTCGCGATGAGCAGAACGTCCGTGTCGTCGACACTAATAACGGCGCCGCGGACAAAAACGGACACCTTGATAACGCCGGCAATCCCAGCCACAACACCATTCCTGCGACGACCGCCCCCGGAACTTCCTCCTACAGGGACGGAGCTACTGCGTCATCCTCCTCGCTCCCACCACCACTCGAGAACGACCCGGCGGCCCTCGCGCACTACAGAGCCGCCCGGTTCCAGGAAGTCCCCGTCCCCTCCAGGGCGGATGCCACAACACAAGCGCTGTTCGCAGCAATTAATCAAAGGAACTATCTCATCTTCGCCCAAGGAGAGAGACTAAAGGCGCTTGAAGACGAGCGAAAACCCCCGAGGAGGCATCGGAGACCATATACTCCCCCTCCTCGAGCGACTGAAGCTCGACACCCTTCTCCTCCGCGGAGACATTACAGGGAGACCTCTCGAAGCCCATCTCCCCGGCCAAAACAGAAACGGCCTTACCTGGAGAGGCAGCCCATCATTCAGGCCGGAGAATCCAGTCGTGACCCGGCGATACTAGAAAGAAGGCACTCTAGAGATGGGCGTGTGAAATTCAACAACCGAGCATCCCGCTCGAGAGAAACTCAGCACGACCTGGACCGTCGTGCCAGACAATATTACAGGTCCCCATCTCTGTCTCCGGAGAGAAGCGACGAGGACGACCCCCGCGGTCCCCTGTCACAGGCTATTATGGAGGCACCCATCCCCCCGGGCATGGAGAAGCCCCCTCACTTGAAGGAGTACGATGGAGTCGCGGACCCGATCGACCATATAGACAGGTTCGAGGCTATGCTTCATTATCACAATGTCGGGGGCCCCATCAAGTGCCGTCTGTTCCCCACGACTCTCAGGAAGGCGGCAATGGACTGGTACAAAGGACTCGCCCCGGGCTCAATCACCTCGTGGCGGAGCCTGAAGAACCAGTTCATCAGTTCCTTCACAGCTTCTCGGTGCCATCCGAAGACCGAGGCGGCCCTCGAGGCCATCATCCAAAGACAGGATGAAACCTTGAGGGAATTCATCAACCGCTTCAACCGGGAAGCAATACAGGTCCCCTGCGCGGACCATATGAAAAGATACTTGCTGGAGAGAGGGCTCCTCCCCGGCACGAAATTCAGAAAGGCCGTGGGTATCGATCCACCTCGGACATTCGATGCCCTCCTCGAAAAGGCCCGAGCATACATGGACTACGAGGAGAGGGAGGCGGCCAACAGAGCCCGAGATTCCAGGACCCGTGGTCCCAACAGCAGTTCGCGCCAAGAGGCTCCTCCTCGACGAATCGGGGAGAAAAGGAAGTAAGACAGACCCCGGGAAGTCCGGGAACAAAGAGGACCTTCGGGGCGTTTCACCGAGTACACTCCGCTCACGGCTTCCCACGAGCGCATTCTGGCGGAGTGTGCCAGCACTGATTTCAAGGACGGCAGTGTCAAACGTCCCCGGCCTGCTCCCGCTAAGCCCGGAGCAGACAAAAACAAATATTGTCAGTACCATAGGAGCCATGGTCACCTGACTGAGGATTGCGTCCACCTCAAGGACGCCATTGAAACCCTCATCAAGGGAGGGAGGCTCGCGCAGTACCGGCGAAGCGACGCTCCCTGTCGTGACGCCCAAGAAGCCAGGGAGCCAGAAGAAGAAGCCCGACCATCTGACGAGTCGGTGCCCATCCAAACTGCCTTCTCCGTGACCAGGCCCGAGGATTTCGACTTCCCCGAGCACCTGCAAGAGCCACTTACAACGCACAGCAGGTGGGAATACTTCCCCTCCGCCCTGGTCATCAACGGCGGCAGATTCAACGACTTGACCATCAATTCAGCCAAGAGGAAGCTGGACGAACTGGTCAACGCGGCTCCCCCGCAAACAGTGACGTTCGAAAGGGTGAAGGGCAGGTCAGAGCCCATCACCTTCTACCTGGAAGAACTCCCCAGCGGAGCCCCGAACGCGGTCATCCCCTTACTGATAAGGGCAAGAATGGCCAATTTTGATGTACATCGCATCCTGGTCGACGAAGGGAGTTCCGTCGACGTCATGTACACCCAACTGTTCCGAACCCTTCAGCTGGACGACTCACATCTTTCGCCATATGTGGGTTCGGACTTACAAGGTTTCAACGGCTCGACCTCCAAACCCTGGGGATATGTCGAGCTTCTGGTTACGTTCGGGGAAGGGACGGCTACCAGACAAGTCAAAGTACGCTTCCTAGTCATCGACTGCCCGTCTCTATACAACTGCATCTTGGGGAGACCGACACTGGCAGAGCTGACGGCGGTACCCTCGACCGTCCACCTGAAGATGAAGTTCTACACCAAGAGGGCACGGGTAGCTACCATCCAAGGAGACCTAGCCGCTGCCCGCAGGTGCTTCAACGCCGCTTCTAAGGGACGTGATACTGTCGACATAGGGACTAGACCCGCAAAAAGGACAAGACAGGAGCCCGACAGGAAAGCATCCCCCGAGGAAGAAGTCCAGAAAGCTCCACCAAAAGTCGATTCCATAGCTCTGGACACCCGCTTCGACCAGGACGAGCCATCCAGCGGCGAGAAAATCCCACTTCGACCAATACCGGACGGGGATTTTGAACTCGTCCCCCTCGGCACAGATCCAACCAAGGGAGTGAAGATTGGCAAAGACCTCCCCGACTTGGCCAGGAAGCAAATCAAGGCCTGCTTGCGCGAGAATGCTGATTTGTTCGCCTGGAGCGCCGCGGAGATGCCCGGACTCGACCCTGAGGTCTCCTGTCACCACCTCGCCATTGATCCAGCCGCTAGGGCCGTAGTACAACGTAGGCGTAGGCAGTCTCCAGAAAAAACTGAGGCTGCTGAAAAAGCTGTAAAAGACCTCCTAGAGGCAAATTTTATTTCAGAAGCCCGGTATTCCACCTGGTTGTCAAATGTTGTACTCGTGAAAAAGAATAATGGAAAATGGAGGATGTACGTTGATTATACCGATCTCAACCGGGCTTGCCCGAAAGATGCTTTTCCTTTGCCTAACATAGACATGCTGGTCGACAACTCGGCCGGCTACAAAACGTTGTCGTTCATGGACGCCTACTCGGGCTATAACCAAATCCCGATGGCCCTGGGCGACAAACACTGCACGGCATTCATGACCAGCTCGGGCAACTATTACTACAACGTAATGCCCTTCGGACTGAAAAATGCCGGAGCAACTTACCAGCGCATGATGAACAGAGTTTTCAACAAACAGATCGGCGACATGCTCGAGGTGTATATGGACGACATGATCGTCAAGTCCCGAGCAGACACCGACCATGCAGCACACCTCAAGACAGTCTTTGCCCAAGCAAGACAATGTAAAATGAAGTTCAACCCCGAGAAATGTACGTTCGGGGTTAAGGCAGGAAAATTCCTTGGATTCTATCTAACAGAACAGGGAATCAAAGCCAACCCCGACAAATGCCGCGCGTTCTCCGACCTCCCGACATCAACATCGAAGAAGTCGATACAAATCATGAACGGCATGCTCACGTCGCTATCCCGCTTCGTCGCGAGATCCGCTCAGCACGCCCTCCCCTTCTTCAAACTCCTTTGAAAGGAAGCGGCCTTCGAATGGAATGAGGAGTGTGAGCAGACACTATG